TCTGTGATGGGCTGCTTCACCCTGTGTTATGAAAGACCAGCTCAGAAGAACAAAATGTTTTCCCCAAAGTGCATTCCCTCCCAATCCCTTGGCTTCAGAGAGCAATCCACATCAGAAATTGTTCCCCCTTTGGAATTCTCCACCCCTCCAACTGACCAGAGTATCCTCAGGAAAGGTTTTACAGAAGAGTTGAACGAACAACATCAGTTCAAGGAATTTCGTAGTTCGAAGGCTGCTTGACCCATCAATCAGTAACACAATGTCTCGGGGATCATTTGGACACGCTGGAGAGAAAGGAGCAAACGAAAGACTCTTGTTTCAAAGCCAAAGCTATCCTCTTCCATTCTTAGCTTATCACAGCCAATGTCCAGCGGAGTGCCTCCTGTATATTTGAATAGCTTCCTAGCAAACAGAAATTCAACTGGTGAATCTTTTTTTCATCTTGGTATTATATTCCATTGTGGGAAAAGTTTCACTGGCTGAGGCTCCAGTTCCATCAATTTTAAAGGTACTGTCATCTTACCAGGGGGAAAAAAATGGCAACATCCTTTCTCATCCTTAAAAAAATCTTGTTCCAAAATAATCCTGATATACATGAATGAACAATAAAGAAGTGCCCTTGAGGACATACAGAATGCCCTTTTCATGACTTTATGATCATCCTGATGTTATTTTGCTTTCAAAGTCTGGTTGATGCGACCTGGTTTTGCCCATTTGCAGTAATATTGACACCCCTTCATTTCTAATCAATAAACAGCTAGAAATTATGGATGACAATTCACTGTATATAGCTTATACCCAAGCCTGCCTTCAGAAAAGTGTAATTTGTTAATAAAAATGAAAGCTGAGATTTCTAAAAAGCTGAATTTTGACAGGTATTTACCTGAAAGGAGGTAAACATTTACCTGAAAGGAGGTAAACACCTACCTGAATTTAAAACAACACACACTACAAACATTAGAAAAAAAGAGATGTCATTACTTATTTTCAGTGGATCTAAGAGCATTCCCATTTAAAGATACATTATTAAAGATAAAGAAACCAGTCTTTCAGGTAAATACAGTAATAGATTTTCCCATTTCTATAGAATTAAACATACCCACAACTCTGACATATAGCCAGAACTACCAGCTCTGGTTTGCAAAAATCCAGATGACCAATAGATGACAACAAAGAAAGTTTAATTTTTCTCTGACATAAGAAAGGCTTATTTCTTCATGTGCACACTTTTTTTTCTCTTTCTTTTTATCCTCACAGTAACCGTGTGAGTTAGACTGGGAGATGAGCTGATCATCACCAAGGGACATATTGATTGATTGATATGTCACATTTACATAGCCACCCATCTCACACAAAGCGACTCTGAGCAGCATACAACAATTAAATAAAAAAACAAGCGAATAAATACAAGCATTATAAAAAGATAAGGAATTATTATTAAGATAAAAACATCACAAATTTTTAAAAATGAAGATTTCAAATATACAAACTCCACAGAGAGAGCAGAATATCAGTTACAGTGGCGCCATCTAAAAATATCTCTGGTTCCCATACATTCCTGGTTTAATGGAGATTTGAATCTCTGTCTTCTTTAATCTTGGACGTTCTTCCTTAGTATACTCCATTGGTTTTCACATTAGTTTGGTTAGGGTTTTTTTAGGGATGGGTGGGCTGTGGCCCCAGGCTGCTGTTGAGTTCCACATTTGTGGTCCCCAGAACACTGATCATGACTCTGATCATGACGGCTGAACACTGAATGCTGACAGCACGATATCCTGGCATTTTAAAGTGGGAAACGCATGGAAAGTATAACATAAACTCTGAAAGAGGCACGTCACCGTTCAAAAGAGAAAACAACTCTCAAGATTTCCCCCTAACCTTAGGTATGATGTGGCTGCTACCACTTGGGGCCCTTACTCTACCCTAAAAAAATTAGCTATGCCAACTGATCACCGAAAGGTTGCCCAACTCTGGCTAAGAGGGTACAGAATATTCAGAGCTACCCATTCTGTGTCCATCAGCAACTCGTGCCTGACACAATCCTCTCTCTTTACTTGACCACAGGGCCAGCCATAGTTGAAGTATTTGTACCCACCTGCTACTCCGAGGAAAAGGAGGGTGACAATAAAAAGTCCAAGTCCTCCCATGTCTGGCCTCTAAACTGCTGTCTGTTAGTTTTCTGTTCTCTGAGGGCAAGGGCTGGTTTTGAGGGTAAGCTGGAGGCTGAAAGAGCCCTGACCAGAACAGGTCATCTGAATACAAAGCTTTCCTGGCAGTAGCAGCCACTCTCTGATGTACAAACATTTGCACCACTGAACTTTTGAGCAATAGCCATGTTGATTTACTTTAATAAAAAACTGCAGTCCCTTCCCTTGCCATGCAGTTACACACAGCAGCCTCAAGTGACTTGTCTCCCATTCTGATACAGGCTGGAAAGGAAGCCAGCTTAAGAAATTGTTCTCTGCATTTCAGTTTTGGTAACGATGCTGGCCAAGTGCTTAGTCCAGGCAGTGGTTATCACCGCCTTAGATTGGTGAATTCCTCTGCTCTGTTATCCCTTCCTTTGTGCCCATCTCTTTCTTTCCATGGGCAAGTCTTTGAGGACAAGTGGTTTCTTTCATTCTTTAAGCTGAACTCCAATCGACTCTGGATGGCTCACAGTATAAAAAGAAAGCCACCAATGTACAATTTAAAAATATCTAGAGCGCATAATAGTAAGCAAGATTTTTACTTGCCTGAGCAAGGACTTTAGAAGTCATTTAGTTCAGTCCACTGCTCAATGCAGGAGTTGCTTGCTCACAATGAGCATTTCGCCAGTTGACCAGGAGTAGTGGGGAAACACACCATTCTTTGACTGTTCTTGCTGATCTGAGCTAGAAGCAGAGTCTGACAAACTCTTGTCAACTTCAGCCAAGCTCTTGTACTCAGTCCAGATATAGACCTTCTCCATGCACTTGGTTTCACAAGCTGTGTTAGAAGAGCTTTAACAAGCCAAAAATGTTACTGGGTTCTAGTTCAGGAGAACTGAGAGGTGGATTCATACCTGGAGGAGAGGGGTTTTCCCCCTCTTTTTTAGGGTGGTCAGAAAGAGGTTTGGTGTTTCCTTGCTTCCTAGCTGTATTGCCTGCACCAGTGTTTACACACACACACAATCTTTCCCTTCCACAAATCCTGCCCTTTCCCCCTTCTTCCAGCTTTATCTACCCCAACTACCAGCCCCCCACCCCACCCCTTGTCCCTCTACTGTTTTCTTGCATTTAAGTCATTTCCACGGGACCAATTTGAAAACAAAAGAAAAAGGAAAGGTCCACTTTCACCAGTGGCCTGACTAAAAAGCTCACACACAAAAAGAAAGGTCCACCATTTTACAAGTAGACAAATTGAATACACACACATTAAAAAAACCCAAAACCAAAGTATTCATCATAGCCTAGGTCCAGCAGTGAAATGTCCATGGAGGGCAGTGACCAGTGGCCGAGGAGAGGGATAGGGCGGCCTGCCTACCACACCACACGTTACCCATTTGGACCGGAGGCTTTGCCTATAATGGCTTTGCCTATAACAAAAGGAAGTGTGGATGACTCTACAGCAGAGTTAATTGAAAATACTACTTCTGACGTAGAGCAAGAAAAGACAAGTAGAGGTGGTCTTGAGGTGACCCTGGTGGTGAGTTAAATTATTTTGGAGAGCTTTTTCTTAATCTATATTTGGCACCATTTTTTCCTCTTTCTCCTCATTCTTTATTTTTGATTTATTATTCTTTGTGGCTATTTTTGTTTACAGTATTTGGCATTTTTGTGGAGTTATTGTTGCAGTTGTGATTAATTTTAATATAACTGTGGAAGTTTTTAGTTTTTATATATGATGTAAGCTACCAAGAGTTATTTGATTACAGTGGGACAAAAGTTTGATCAATCAATCAATCAATCCGTTACTCTTTTTAACACGGGATGGGGCTGTACCTGGGGAAGAAGTGAGTTTAAACCCCAACAGGTTTGCCTAGTTGTTAAAACTCACTCCTAGCTTTGTGCAAGTGTTTTGCATATGACATATGACAACCTACACACCATGATATCATCATGCAAATGATGTGACTTACATACTTGCATCAAGCATCATGACATCATGACATAAACATGCTATTTGCACAAAGAAGTCATGAACTGTTATCATTTTGTCATCACCATAGTTGTTATGAATGTTTTCCGTCGTTAACATAACACGGTGTGCGAACCCCAACACTGTGGTTTGTAAAATTGTGGTTTATATCTTAACGCAGTATATGACTCCGGAGAAAGAGAGGAAAGATGAGAAGGGATGCAGGAATCCAGGAGAACAGCTGGATTTCAGGAGAGAGTACAGAATCCCAGAGTATTAGGGACCAAGTCCAGGACTGCACACCCTGATCGACAACTTAGGTCTCCACCTTCTTCTCACTCAAGCTGCTTAGACAAAGAACAACTTCTGAGAACGTGCTTTAGAGCAGGGTTCCTCAACCTTGGCCACTTGAAGATGTGTGGACATGGCTGGCTGGGGAATTCTGGGAGTTGAAGTCCACACATCTTCAAATGGTCAAGGTTGAGGAACACTGCTTTAGAGGACCAGGTGAGCAGGGTTTGACCCCTGGGTTACAATGAGCGATGACCTTCTATTTCTTGGCCCCCTACTTTCTTCACTGTCTCCCACCACTTCTTCCTCTTTTCTTACCAATAAAATCTGATCAGGAGGGAAAGACAGAATCGCTGCAGTGTGTTCCTTAATTGCTAGTGCTAGAAGGCATTCTTTTAGAAGCACCCCGTGTTTCTAGGAAAGCTGGTAGAGTGATCTAGATGGTGCCTTCAAAGCCTCTAGTGCAGATGATCAGATATTTGCAGCAAAAGTGAAGCTGGTGAAGTAGGAAGCTACAGCCAGGAGCATAACTATGAAAACCCTGGATTATGACGTACACAAATGCACAAATATAAGACACCTTATGTAGTCATCAGTGGCACTTTTAATGATGGATGGATGTCATCATATATACATGGATAGATCCTTATTGAATATGCCCATGACTAGTTTGCCTGACTTACTTCCAAGATTTGCTTTGATACTTGGCAGCTTTGATCTCACAGCAGATTGTGGCTCAGTTTCTCCCAGAAGTTTTGCTAACCAGTAATTAAAACACAAACCGCTGCTCTGTCTAATACCCACCCTCTTATCTTCTAAGCACCCTAATGGTCATTATGCACGAAGGATGTGTTGTCATTCATAGAGTAAAGTGTGCAGGGCTTTGCCACCCAGATTAGTGTTACAGAAATAGCACAAAGACAATTATCTTAAATCCAACACTCCTGCCTTGCTATTACTTTAATGTGAACCAAAAAAAAGCAAATGAATCCAGCATTTAAAAATCTCTCAACCAAGCCACCGTGAAAAAGTATGGTTAATATATACTCTTAAGTTCCAACTTTTAAAGAAAAGCATCAAAGTGGCTTCATATTCTGTATTACAAACATCTGGATTCTCTGGCTGGTGGATCATTTCCAACTGGTCAGCTCATTTGTTAAATGAACATGAATTCGTTTTGGGATATTTGTACTTTTATCATTCTGTGCAAAAACTCATGCCCTGCCCACTCATATGGGGAGCTGGGTAGGTAGACTGTTTGCTGGCCAGGAATTGGCCTTTTGATCTGAAACCAGCCAACAGCTATTTCAGGAACTGATTTCAGGAATAGAAAAAAAAAGTTTATCATGATCATCGCAGGTTTGGATTTAAAATGAATCTAGAAACTGGATCCAGGGAGATTTGAATTGTATTTCTCCATCACCATCTCTCTAGATTCGATCTTGCAGAATGGAAGTCAAGATAACACTGGGATCAAATGTTAAGGGGATATCTAGGCATGATTATTTAAATTGCGTGCATTTATTCATTCTACTCACCTATTAAGTTAGTGAAAACCAACTCATCCTGTGGCTCCCCTGCATTTAATGTCCTCTAAGTGTGTTTGTCTATATTCCCCCAGCAATATAGCACAGTATATCTGGATAGCACCTAATTCAGAAAATTGCTTTAATACTCCCTGAAAACCAGTTGGGCCCATTTGTGAAAAAGGTCGCTACATGAAGTGGTGAGAAGCTTTCAGACAGAGACTGGATGGTCATTGGTTAGAGATACTCTAGACCAGGGTTTCTCAACCTTGGCAACTTTAAGATGTGTGGACCTCAACTCCCAGAATTCCCCAGCCAGCTGAAGAAGAATTCTGGGAGTTGAAGTCCACACATCTTCAAGTTGCCAAGGTTGAGAAACACTATTCTAGTAGATCCTGCACTGAGCAGGGGGTTGGATTTTCGAACTAATGGTTCATTAGTAGCTGAGAACAGTTGCCTGGTTCCCATAGCTGTGCAGGACAGAGGCAGTTTTATCTGCTGGATTTCTGTCTGTCATGCAATCATTACAGGAACAGAACTTTCAAACAAACAAACAAACCAACAAACCATGTTTGTCATTTCCTGACAAAAGTTTAATAGGTTGCTTCTTGTCACCCCACCCTCTGAACTTTTATCAGGCAACTTCTTCTGAAAGGCGGCTGTGTCTAAAGTTTCTCAGAAATAATCAGAACTCCATCAGGCGCTTTGGTGCATCTTCAGACATCATCCCCTGAATTTGGCTCAGTCATGCAACCGTTAATGGTGGAAGAGCTCAGCCTGAAACAAGCATAGCTACCAGTTACCACACGCTTGACCTTTCTCTGCAGCTTGAGCATCCAAGACGTAATGTCTTGGCTAAGATTTGTAATCATGGAGAATAATCCTCCACCCCAACCTCCCCTGTCCACAGAGAAGTAGTTTTAAAGGTGATGAGCAGGTGTGAGATGGATGGTAAAGCACCATTACTGAGATAGAACAATCCCCCCATGCTCTGTGGTGGGGCACCTGCTAAATCTGTCAGCAAAGGAAAAAAACATAATAATTACAAGGTTCCCATGAAGCTAGACCTATATAATGAGAGCCCTTGCTCTTCTCCTCCTAACAACTGTGTTTACGGAGGGCAGCCCACTCAAGACCATGAGGTGCCCAGCTTGGATTCTTCTCCTGGAGATGCTGCTTCTCTCAGCTGCCCAAGAAAGGACACTCCGCTTCGTTACACTGGTACACAGAATGGGACAATGGCCGAACTAGGAATCCTTGGGTTTCTAGCCAAACAAGATGGCTTGGACCAGCCTTTTCCCATTGAGTGCTTACAGATATGTGAGGACTATAAAAC